TGTTTTTTGAATAGCCAACAAGAGAGAAATATCTTCCCAGTTTTTTTCATCATTCTATTTTCTTTTAGGGTTTGGCCTGATCAGAGTGTAGCCGAGAGGCAAATAGGTGGTCCAGTCAGTGACTTCCATTTCAGCAGGAGCAGTTGTCTTCCTAAAGCTTGTCAGCTTTTCTAAACAGACCCACGGACTATAGACAGTGCCAATAAAAAGTGGTTGAACAAAAATGAACCTAACAAACAAAAACCACCACTCCAATCTGGAAAAATGTGGGTGGTGAACTGTTTACTCAGAAGAGATAGGTTCCAATCTAGCCTTGAGAGCTAACTTCCAGAGGACAGGAAGTACAGAGAGAAGAGAAATATGCTGAGGACACCACAAAGAAGCCTATGATAAATCCAGAAGACAGTCTGGTTTCTTCAATAAGGCAATGTCATTTCAAGAAAAAGTGGGAGTGGGGAGGAGGAGGAGTCTCTTGTGGGTGAAAAAAGATGTACTCAAACTGGGTGGTCATGGATTGAATCCTGGTCTGAGTAAGTCAGCTGTAAAAGACATTTTTGGGTCAGTTGGAAGAATGTGATATGAGTTGATAATTATTGTTAGCTTTAGTTAGGTGTGAAAATGAATTATGGTTATATAGGAAAGCATCCTTTTAAAAATGATATGTTTATTGTACCATTTAGGGGTGTCTGTCTTTACTTTAAAACTGATCACCAGGTGTGATGGCTTAGCACTTTGGGAGGCCAAGGCAGGAGGACTGCTTGAGGCCAAAGTTAAAGACCAATCTGGACAACACAGTGAGACTCCTCTCTCTAGAAAAAAATACCGAAATTAGCTGGGTGTGGTATCACTTGTCTGTAGCCCCAGCTACTTGGGAGGCTGAGGCAGGAGGATCGCTTAAGCCCAGGAGTTCAAGGTCACAGCAAGCTATGATGGCGCCACTGCACTCCAGCCTGGGCAACAGAGCTGTCTCTTAAAAAACAAACAAGTAAATAAAATTAAAAAATAAAACCCTTCAGCAGAAGAGGTGATGAATTAAATAAGGCAAAATGCAAACACTTGTTATATATAGACCCTAGGTTTTAGATAACACTTATTCTAGTAGCCTCTGCTCTATATCTAATGTTTTTCTTCATAAAAAGTAAACAACCAGAAAAATAAGAACAGGGTTTGCTTTCGTTTCAGCAGAGTAAGAACCGGTCTTTATTTTCCTCCAAACATGGAGCCATCAACCTGTGGCCTGGACAGTGCCTCAGGAGCGTGGCGTGGCCCAGGGAGCGTAGACAGACGAGCAGACTCCTTTTTGCACACCTGATTTGAGCACCGTGTGAAAAACCCGCACAAGCCAACCCGTGCGCCTCCCGCCCGACGGCCCTGCACACCCACCCAGGGCCGCTGCGGATACCGAATAACATGCCACCTCGCTGTCCCCTGAATGTCCTCAAAACACGAAGGATGGGAGTTTTGACGCTCATCGCGAGGGCGGTCACAGGGCCTGGACTGGGCTGAGCGGGCGGGAAGTGGGGAATGCAAGGTTCCCTCCCGCTCCCTCGAACCCTCGGCGTCGGGCCAGGGTGGAGGGGCGGGGACCTCCTTCCACCACCGCACCCACCTGGAAGCGGGGCGGAGCGGGGCCGGACTCCGCGGAAGCGGCCGCAGGTGCTAAGGCCACGACTCTCCTCTGCCGCCGGGTGAGCGGGGCGGCCGCAGGGGGCTGGAGCGCGGGAGGGGACGGCGCGCACTTGGCGGCAGGGCCGGATCCCGGAGGGAGAGCGCGGAGCGGGCTCGGCCGGCGCGGCGGCAGGTGAGGGCGGCGGGCCGCGCTCCCCCGCGGGGGATGTTTCTTGGCCGGGAAAGGTGCAATTGTGTGCTGCTATTCCTGGTATGTCAGGCGGGCCGGGCGGCCGCTAGCCGGGAGGGTGCAGCTCTCAGGGGCCCGGGAGGGGGAGGGAGGGCCGGCGGCCAGCGGGGCGGGTGCGGGAAGGGTGCGGGCGCGGCGGCGCATCTCCCTCGGTGCTGAGCCGCGGCCCGGGTGGGCGGCCCGGGAAGTGGAGCCTGGCGGACGGTGGCATCCCTCGGGCCAGACAGTCTGACCGCAGAGACTGCCGCGGCCGGGAACCCCGGGGAGCAGCGGGAGGGGCGGACGGAAGCGGCGACTCCGCGGGCCCCGGGCGGGCGGCGGGGGAGGGGGGGCTGGGGCGGGGCCACCGCGGGGAGGACGGCCCGGGCGCTGCGACTTTTGAAGTCCAAACTGTCGTCGGGGCCGGAGCCGCGTGCTGCCTCTGGGCGCCCGTTTCGCCTCCCGCGTCCTGCCAGGCTGCCCGGGTCCCCGCGTACCTTCGGTCGCTTTCAGGAGTTTAGAGAACGCCAGGTCTTCACGTTCTTGTAAGTTCGAGACCTTGGCGAACTGCAGAACGCAACAAAGGCAACGAGAGCCCGGGCGCCCTCGCAGCCGGAGTCTGGCGGCGGCCCGCGAATCCTCCCCGCCAGTGGGGCCCAGACGCGCGGGGACACCCCCTCCTCCAGGCACCCACTGAGTCTCTCTCCCCCTCCCTTGTCCTAGCCATGGAAGGGCTGGAGGAGGCGGAGGCCGACTGCTCCGTGGCGTTCGCCGAGGCTCAGAGATGGGTGGAGGTGAGTGCCTTTCATTCTTCCCCTCCGCAGGTGTTGGCTGCCTCGGGGCGGCGGTCGCTACGTGACTGCAGGCCCGGACACTCTGCACTTTAACCTCCTTGGGTGACCCAGCCCGCGCGAAGAAGCTGCTTGTGCTCTTCTGGGGACTCTGCGGGTTCTGCCTCTCCTGCCTCTTAACGTCCCGCTTTGATTAGTGCTGCCTAACCCCCGGCCCCCGACGTTGTCACTGGCTTCCTAGGGCAGAGGTGAGCGCTCGCCCGTCGGGTGCCGGCCCTGCGCGTCCGGGGCCTCTCCCTGCGGGTCACAGCCCAGAGCGCGTGGTGCAGAGCTGGGCCAGGGCACTCGGGTGCATTTCCTCGGGGTGCCTAGAAGTGGGGATGCTCGACCTATACCTGAGAAGCCACTGTATTCAGTGTGGAGGGGGAGCGGAAAAGAAGGGTGGGTGGGAGGGCAGGTGGAGGAGGTAACACACCGGAGGAGCACCTGGAAGGATGATTTCTCTGCAACCTCATCCAAGCTCCAGGGAGTAGGGGCCCGGCGTTGTGCTGCTTCATTTTCAGCTTTGATGAGACTGAGATCCTAGGGTCTCTCATTGAGAGTTGTTATCCTTCCAGCTGTGCCTCACAGACAAGATCATCCATTCCCTTCTTTCCCCCTGAAAAAGAGCGGGTCTCTTCATCCACGCCTTGGGGCTACATTTATCTGTAGAAGCTTAACATCAGGACTTCTAGCTGTTATTCTACCGGACGAAAAGATGACTTTTAAAACGAGGCAGAAGTCTTCCAAGCAGATGTGAATCAGGAACAACTGTTGAAAATTGTGGCATGCACCAGCATTGCAGTCATTTAGGAGTTATTGATGCCACGTGCTGGTTTAATCAACGTATTTAAAACGTCGAATTAGTCTTAAAGTTTATGCCATGGAAAAGAACAACAGGTTTACGAATTCCAAGGCAAACAATACTTGAAAATATTTTTCCTTAAAGAAATACATATATGTGTATGGAAAGAGAGAATAAACTTTCAGTGTTACATTTCTTACACTAAATAAAGGAATGTGAAATGTGAGTAGCATTACCCACGGGACAGTTGGGAGGTCTAAGCTTTTAGTGTCTTTTTAGATGGAAACTTTGAGCTGGTCTGAAGGTGACTTAGATGTAAAGAGAGGGCATGGGAAGTTGGGAGACGAATAAACACGCTATTTTGAATTGAAATGAGAGTGGAAAAATTTCAGCAATATAGTTAAGAGAAATAACTTCCCTCATTCATAAACTTTGAAAAGCCAAGACTTCCAACTGTAATTTTCCATTAGCAGTGTGTATTCTGCATAATTTTAGAAAACAAACTTGCCATTTTGTGTTTGAGTGTTGGGGATTGAGGGAGGGAGAAGGGGAGACGTGTGGACGTGTTTTGGTCATACATGGCTTCTGCGTGGAGTTTGCATCTGCATGCTTTGTATTTGTTTCAGGAAACGTGAATATGAATGATTCCACACCCTTTTTTTAGTATGCAGATTTTGGAAAATGAAGAATTCCTTTTTTGTCCCTGCTTGGTCATAATTACGTAGGGTTTCTCCAAGAAATTTGTACGTAATGAACTAGGGGAAAGTGTACTGTGATAAAAGATATCATCGGGCATGGTACATGTGGCCTCTCTACACTCTCATCGCAGTCTACGTGAAGGTGTTTATCAGCAATGAGTTGGCACCTCTATAATGTATTTTGTTCACCATTAGCAGAAAGCTGGATCTTCCTAAAGGTGCTGTCATATCCTTTCTCTCTTTTTTTTTTTTTTTTTTTTTTGAGATGGAGTTTTGCTCTTGTTACCCAGGCTGGAGTGCAATGGCATGCTCTTGGCTCACCATAACCTCCACCTCCTGGGCTCAAGCAATTTTCCTGCCTCAGCCTCCCAAGTAACTGGGATTACAGGTGTGCGCCACCATGCCCAGCTAATTTTTTGTGTGTGTGTGTGTGTGTGTGTTTTTAGTAGAGACGGGGTTTCACCATGTTGACCAGGATGGTCTCGATCTCTTGATCCCTTGGCCTCCCAAAGTGCTGGGATTATAGGCGTGAGCCACAATGCCTAGCCTGTTATATCCTTTTAATATAGTTTATGAAATTAAAATTAAGTAATTTTTTTCATGCCACATGGAGCAAGACAGTATGTTTGCCTTCATTGTGTATATGTGAGTAATTTACATGTTCACATAGTTTTAGTATACTCTGGGCATGTGAAATGACCACAGCGTGCTCACTGTTGGGGCTATTTTGTTTCTGCGGCCAGTGTCCACATTTATCTCTCTTGTCAGCTTTGCCTTTGCCACCAAAGCACATATTTTAAAATATCGTTCTTGCCAAAAGAAGCAGGATGAATGACTCTGTCATCACCACAACCTCTTTAAGAACCCCTAATCTGAAGATAAAAGGTTGATTCCAATGTGCATTTGTATTCCTTTTTCTGCTTGCTAATATTCTTGCTACATTTTGCCCTATTCCTTTACACATTACTGAAATATAGAAGGGCTTTTAAATGTACATACTGTATATGTATGCACATATATACATATGTATTGTATAGATTCTGTATGTATTAGATGTAATCTGTTATTTTATTCTTGCTGCAGCTTTGAATGCCCCAAAGTCACTAACTCCAATAACCTTGTAAAATTTTGAATGATGACTGGACTCCATTTCAACATCTTCTTGCCATTTCAGTTTTCCATCTGTGATTTTAAATAGCTAATGTGTAACTCTCATAACCACATTTTAAGTTTATTTTTTAGAGTGGAGGAGATTGAGGTAAGAGCTAGTGGTTGTTATTCTGCCAATTATTAGCATTTTATGAATCTTGTTTTTATTCATTTCAAATTGTATTTATATACTTGAGTATATATACAAACTGGCTTGTCTTCTGGTGCTAATTTTGCAATTCAAAGCAAATGCAGGAGTGCTACCCTTTAAGATAACATAATGATATCGGATTATTATGTGATTGGAAAGGCTGTTTGGAACATTAATAATGTATCAGGGCTGGTTTATGATTAAACACCAGTTTAAAACCAAGTAATGTAATGGTTTGAAGGCAAAGGCAGAGGGGAAGCTTGATTCTAGCAAGGCTACCCAGTGGGTGATGAAGTGGTAGAAAATACAGCCGGGACTCTAATTTTAGGCCTCTTCTGCAGTACCTTTTAATTTTCCCTGCCTAATAGTTGCCTTTGTCTCTCTGTTTGGGGTCACCTGAAAGTCTTGACAAAATACTAATGAGGTTGAAATTAAGGTATGTAGCACTTTGCACTGGTAGGTCACAGCTTTCTAGTCTGCAAGTTAATGTTGCTATCTAGGTTGAGGTTCAAATACAAGAGTAATTTTTATGGCTGGAGCAGAACAGGATAACTTAATTCACCACCCTCCTGCTCACTTGCCCTTCCTGTTATCTTTGGATTGGTTTTTTTCAGTATTGCTGTCACCTTGTAAGGGATGCCAACCTGAGCTCATCGCCAAGTCTGACACTAGAATATGAGTCCTTCCTCACCTCTAATTGGTCTGTTTCTCTACCTGCCCCAATTTTTATCCTTCACGTATGTGCTGTTCATCACCTTTTAACTGTTTTGCCTTTGGTGCTATTGGAAGTATTTTTGGTAATTAAGTACAGTTTCAATCAACAGATATTAAAACACTATGATAAATATGTGTTAAAAACTGTAGTGTTACACAGCAATTCTTATTCTAGCTGCAGGTCTTATGCATTTGTACTATTGACTTTGAAACGTATATAGAGTGACAAAGACATACATTTAAAAATGTTACTGAATTCATGGAAGCATTTTTTGGTAATGTGTAATTTCAATCAACAGATATTAAAGACACTGTGTTAATATTTGTTTAAAAATTGTAGCGTTAGAAAGCAATTCTTACTCTAGCTGTTGTAGTCAAAATCATTTTTCTCAAAATATAAACCTGATTGTGTTAATTCCTTTTTTTCCTGGAGAGCTATAAAAAGATTTTACAGTCCACAACCCTGAGTGTAGCCTTCATGGCCCTTTATAATCTGGTTCCTGCCTGTCAATCTAATCTTGATTTTCAATCATTTTCTCCATAACTACTTGTGTGGCTGCCAGATAGCATAGCAATTTAGGGTACAGTTCTGAAGTCAAATCATCGTTCAGGTGTGGACTCTGCTATTTAAATCCTGTAGGTCTTTTTTCCTCTTAATCTCCCCTGGTGGTTGTGCCAGTTAAGTGGATGCTGATGTAGAGCAACAGATGCTCCCTAATCCATTGCTTGTGTTTCTCCTTGCACAGAATGCAGTTTTGTCACCTCCATGTTTTTGTATGGATGGAATACCTGTTACTCCTTGTTGACCTAGTAAACACCTCTTCAATCTTCCATACTTGGGCTAAAATCAATCTTTATGTGAAGCCTTCCCGAAATCACCAAACCTCCCAGGCCCATCCATTCCTTTCTCCCCTGTCTTACCCACATAAATCTCTCTTTTTGCGTCGTGTGGTATAGTTCTATTCGTTTTTCTGTATTAGCCTGTGAGCTGACTGAGGGCAGGAATCATATCTCATTTATTGCCTGAGTGCTTGGCGTGGTGCCTGGTGAATGCTTGTTGAATGAAAGTGCGAATAAAGTTACAGCTTTAACAACATTAAAAAATAGCATTTTTAGCAGGGCGCGGTGGCTCACGCCTGTAATCCCAGCACTTTGGGAGGCTGAGGCAGGTGGATCACGAGGTCAGGAGTTTGAGACTAGCCTGGCCAATATGGTGAAACCATGTCTCTACTAATAATACAGAAAAGTCAGCTGTGTGTGAAGGAGCAAGCCTGGAATCCCAGTTACTCGGGAGGCTGAGGCAAAAGAATCACTTGAACCCAGGAAGCGGAGATTGCAGTGAGCTGAGATCGTGCCACTGCACTCCAGCCTGGGTGACAAAGCGAGAATCAAACTCAAAAAAAAAAAAAAAAAAAAAAAAAAAAAAAAGCTTTTAAGGAGCAGAACT